TCATGTGGGATTATCTGCTAAATCAAAAGCCCAATTAACAAACCGGAAGACAAAATAAAAGCGATAATCCAAACCAATAGTAAGAGATAAACCTTCCTATATAATGAGTCAGATAGTAGACCACTATTTATGTCATCTCCATTGTCTTCTTTTGAGGAGCTGGGAGGGGTCCAGTCATAGTTGCAATGGTAGTGACGTTTATTATTCCAGACTCCCCTTCTGTTCCATGCTAGGCATAGAAGATGCCTACCCATGTGAAGCACATAAGTCCTAGACCACATTCTGTACCATTCTTCACCATATCAAGGATGGTCATCCCAAAATGATCGTCAGGATGCCAGTAAGTGACATGATTTATGGGAGCTGAATGTCTGGTCGTATATTCTCTCAAAAATAGGAATTTTTATCCCATTTTCACATTGAACTCTACTCCACAGAACATCTTCAGGTTTACATCTTTTCTATCTAGTACCTTCCATAGTGTAAGTCCAACTGGGTGTTTATTGCCAAGTAAAAACTCTTCATTTGCACTCAGAGTTCTTTTGTCAATAATTTCCTATATTTCACATCATAGTGGTTCTATTTCTTTCCATAGAAAAATCCTTTTCCAAGACGAGAGCTCATCTTCCATACACGTGTTTGCTGGGCACCTATTTGGAATTTTATTATGCTTCTCTGTGCACACACACACACACCATCTCATTTGCTGTACATTTTACGTGATGGCAAAAACTGGAAGAGTTTATGACCAATCCCACAAACACATTTAGCCCCTGGTTTCAGGGTGCAATTTTCCTAACAACATGGTCCTTTGTACACAACTTTAAGGGTGAATTATCATCAATAATCATAGTATTCTTGTGCTATTTCTTTGTGATGTTATGTTCTTGATTTGATGAATTGTACAAAGGCCCTCATGAAACTGATCTCAAAATATACCCTAACTATAGTTTCTTAATGCCTCTACAGTTTGCTTTTTCATGCATAATTCTTTCCATGTATAGTTTATTATTACTATTATCATTTTTCTTCCTTGAAGTATGAGCTTGCTCTAAATCACAATAATACATCATCCATCATGTACTCCTACCCATGATATGAGTGGATTGGAATGTCAATATAACTGTAACAAATGACATGGTAAGAATTTACTACAGAAATTTTTGTTTTACAATAATGTATGCAGCATCATGAGACACTCATGAATGGATTTTTTTCCATTCAGAATTTTTTTACCATATTAACAATGGTATATCTGATAAACATTTTTTATTGAATCCAGATTTCAACTGCTATGAGAAACACATAAATTTCAATTGAATTATAATGGTCAACTTCAAAATTGACATCTGTTACTACATCCATTTCCATGATGGCGACATAGCTAACACAAAAAATGGACTGTCTATGATCTACCACAATCGCCAATGCAAGGTGACTTTGCTGGAGTCACTAGCTTATGTTTCTCAGAAAAATAACATTCTCTTGGAATTTCCATTGCTATTTCTTCTGTTAATTCACATCTCATGAGTTGCGATTGTGTCTCCTTGTTGTCCATCTTGTATACCAAATATTCAGACGTGATAAATAAAGCTTTTCAGGGTTGATTTCATGAGCAGTGGCACTCATGTGCATCATTCTATGAAAGTCTCCTGGACAATTATGAAGAGTTACTAGGGACTTGGGGTCACCCTTTCATTTTCCCTAGTAGAAACAGTCACTGGACAAAAAGAATAGTTCTTACAGAAGATCATCCTGATCAGTGTAAGTGAACATAGAGAGATCTTGAAACACCATACTCTTCTTGGCCTTTGTGAACAATGTGACTCTTGCTCCCAAAGTATATTCTATGAGAGATCCGGCCTGGAGTCCCTCATTCTGCTTCTACCAGTGATGCTCAAATGCATTACCACTTCTAAGAAATTTCAGGATTCTGGGTACCCAATTTGGGTCCAGCCAGAAAATTAACAGACATTCCCATCTAGAGATACAGCACAGTAATTCTCTCAAGTGCTCTAAGGTTTGGACTGTGGCTATTGGGAAGCAAAGAGTGAGAGCAGAGGAAGGAAAGGGATTAGAAGTCACTGCTTGTGTCTTCTCCTTGAACAGATTGTAGGAAGCACTTATATTTGGTAGTCTGTCTTCAGGTGGATCTATTCCACCTGAAGTAATAGCAGTGCCTCAAAGAATTCAAAGAAGAAAAGGCAAGATGAAGCTTCTGGTAAGAGAAGGCCAGGGTTGAGGTAAATGAACAGAGTTATAAGTTAAAATAGATTAGAGTTTGCTCAGGGAATCATTCAATATAGTGAGCTGAGTTTGCTCTTTGGTTTAGTCACAACTTTCATATGCAAAACTATGGCAGTTGATTACAGGTAGATAAGTAGTGAACATAGATTAAGGGCATATCATAAACAGGTCTAAATATATGTGTCAGTACAAAAATTTCCACAGAAAATATGAAAAAACAAAAGAAGTGCCTTAATGCAAAAAAGAAACAGATAATAATTCCCTGACAGGGGAATCCTGATTTATACATGTTGTCTTGTTAAACTACCAATAAGCCTATTTCAAATATAAATTTCGTCACATTGTTCACAAAATATATACATGAACCTTATCATTTATTTCTTCTTATGATCTTTAATATTTCATTCCATGTACAAATCACTACTTTTACTCTAATAAAAGTAATAGTGCAAAAGTAAAAATATATGTATATATTTCAAATATATTGGTATATTGGTATATATTGTATTGGATGTCTAATTTCAGTTAAACTAAAAACTAACAACTGGAATTATCATTGGTCTTCTTTTGTGTTGACAGATGGCATTCAAAGATGATTATATCCAATTATGCTTTATAGGAATATAACTGCTTCAGAATGTCTGAATAGATTTAATGGAAAGGACATGCATCAAACTTGGAAAGAAATAGCTAGCAACTGGAGAATATAACAAGGGAAATATATCAAGTGTCTTCAGAAAGAAAAAAGTAGTTAAAGAACCCAAGGGATATGATAGAAAGTTTTGCAAAACTAGAATTGTTGTTCTAAGGCAAAGTATTCACATCCCAATAATTGTAAAATGTCTTATTTTTCTGAAAGTAACATTCAAACACATTTTCACATTAATGAAAATAGTTAAACATGCAAGTACATACATGGGTATGCATATTGAAGTACAAAAATCAAAAACTTTAATAATACAAATGTTAAAATGAGAATGCAGTTACTAACACATGTGATTTCTGGTTTTGTTCTTCAATAAAACATTAATGAGTGTACCATGTTAAGCCACTCTGCCATTTATTGTGAAAACATAAGTAAAGTCTGGGTAAAGATATTTATTGATTTCTGTTTTATCATATAGATTTCCTACTACCTGCTTCTGGCAACTTTATTGTTTTTTCCCAGCTATACAGCATTGTTACTACAGAACCTTTACCATCACAACCACAATTTACACACTATGGTGTTTTTAATCAGATTAACAAACATGAGGCAAGCAATTCAGCATTTCAGAATTTAACTCATGAATTTCAGATACTGTCTTCGTTGATTCTTTCTCACGATCTTCAGTGGGCTCTTCATAGTCTGTGAAGTTATATCATCCTTTTACACACTTCATTTTTAAATTGTACTTTATTTTTAATTTTGGAAGCTAGTTGATGTAAATGTATAATAGTTTATCATAGAAATCTCTGATGTGATAGTAAAATAGAAAAATATATGGATAAAATGATTAGAAATTGAGAGCAATTTAGAAAATAGGAACCTAGCTTCTTGTAGGAAATATGCATGAAAATATACTTGATATATAGTATCCTTTCCAAGCATTTTGATTTCTATATTAAATGTTTTATCAATCACTCTTCTGAATGCTTTTGAATCATAAACGTTGCTCATTCACACATACTTCAACTTGCAAGGCCTAATTTCATAGACAACTTTCTTGGGTCTAAGGTTTATTTAGTTTTGATTAGTAAATCCTGCTCATTCACACAGTCCCCAACTGATAAGGCCTATGTTTTTAGACTTATCTTTAACTTTATTTTCTTCTATCATTAAATTTATGTGTCCAATTTGTATCTAAGTGCTAAATATGACAGAACATGTAGAAACTAGGAACAAGAGAAGTAGGAATTCATTAATTAAGGTAATTAACCTACAAGTGATGTAACTCAGAAAACAAAGAATAGTGGTAATGAAGTATGCACACACACACACACACACACACACACACACACACACACACACACACACCATATAGGAGCATTATTTTTTAATGGAAAAATAAGACAAAATCCAGAAGGAAATTTGTATATGAAGTTCCAATGAAAATGGCATATGAGAATTGCAGCCAATACGTGAAAAACACAAACAAGAAATCAGTCCAGGTGGTTTTAGAACTGTTGAGAGACAAACCACATTTAAATAGAAAAAGAAATAATTGAAAGTATAAAAATGTATTAACTTTTACGGTATTTGTTTACATGTTTAGTCAGCTCTTGGTTTAAAACAATAATGAGTGCATATTTGGGCAATAGTAGAATAGCTATGGTAAGCATATTAGAAGGGAAGAAAACTATGAAACAAAAAATACATTCTAAATTACAGAATCAACACCCAAAATGTACTGCACATTGAGGTTAAGCTAACAATGCTAAAGTACAGTTTAGCCACCAGGGGTAAAACTGTAGCTATATATTATTTATAGCTAAATAAAATCCTATATTACATATAGGATTTACCAGGTAAAATGCAATGCAAAAGCTCCAACAAATGCCCGAGGCGTTAGCTTCTTCAAATAGAATAGCTCCTTGAGATTTTTCCACCCCTACTTCCTAGCATGCACCATGACTCTCCTACTTCTATAACACTGAAAATGAACACACGGGGAATTTCTTTGTATTGAATTTATTGCCTGAAAGTTAAAAGTCATTGTGATTGTTTTTTTTATTGAGATCTGAACATTTGGGTCTTTTTTTAAATTTATTTTTCACTTTCGTTGTACTGACGTTCTGCTCTGCCCCCTGGATACGCTTCCACCTTTCTGTGTCTCACGCGAGGGCGAGGCTTTAACCTTTGACTCTGTCTTAAGGGGAGTTTTTGCCTTTGAGGCACCTGCGGATGCTACGGATGCTGCAGATGCTGCGGACGCCGCGGATGCTGCGGATGCCGCAGATACTGCGGAAACGGATGATACTGGTTCCTCTTTTCTTTCCTCTTCCTCTTTCTCAGATCTTCTACGTAGTAGGGCCAAAAGGCAAAGTGCACAAAGGGTACACAAAAGCAAAACGCAAATCCAGATCAATAAAACCTGGAAAACGTACCAGTACCATCTTCTTGGTGGTGGGCCGCTATCAATGCTACCTCCATGGCCGTGTTCTAGGCAGTTGGGTGGCGCCCAGCCAGGGTCGCAATGGCAGTGATGTTTGTTATTACAGACCCCTCTTCTATTGCAAGTATCCACCAAGCAAGCTTCTTCCCACACTGGGAAAGGGACGCATTTCTTGTTCATGCACATAAGTCCCAAGCCACACTCTGTCCCATCTTTTACTTCACCAATATCAGGGATGGTCATTCCAAAATGGTAGTCAGTACCCCAGCAAGTGGTATTACCGATAGGAAAGGCATACGCAGTGTTATGATCTCCCAAAAGAGGAGTTTCTGTTACACTTTCACACTGGATTCGACCACACAAAACATCTGCAGGGTCACAGCTTTTATATTTAGTGTCTTCGAAACCACAGTGACCAAAACGGTTACCTTGAGTGTTTACTGCCAAGTAGCAAGAGTGATTTGCACTTTTGGCACTCTCACCAAAGAGGTGCTTACAGTGACTCTCACGGTCGCTGCACCTTTTCTTATAACAGATTCCTTTGTCCAGGCACGAGAGTCCATCCTCCACATACACATCTTCTGGACACATATTCGAAGATCCATTGCACCACTCCGGTAGGTCACACACCCCATTCTGTGCTCTGCACACTTGGCCTAGTGGCAGAAACCGGCAGTTGCTACAACAAAGTCCAAAAGCACACTTAGCCCCTGCTTTCAGAGTGCAATTTTCAAAGCAACAGGGATCGGTTACACATGTTTTTAGAGAGCCACAATCACATTCTTCATCATCTTCAACCACGCCATTTCCACACAGTTTTATTGTGACGGTGTGCTCTGGGTTTGGTGAATTGTACAAGCATTTCTTTGTGGCTACGGTTTGAAAAAAATGACCATAACTGCAGTTGCTGAATGAATCTGCTGGCAATATATGTTCATTCATGATGCACAGTTCTTGCTCACATGTACAGCTTTCTTCATCATCAAATATCCCTAAAGTATGACCAAGCTCATGTGACAAACGTACACTTAACCATACAAATCCATCCTCCACCACACATTCTAATCCACAGTTATCTTGGTAACTGCACACTCCAGCAAAATAAGAATAGGTAGAACGTTTGTCACAAAAAGGTTGTTTTACAATAATATGTGCAGCATCGTGAGCTACACGAGAATTGAAGCTGATTTCCTTCCACAAGCAAAATTCCACCATCATGCTATATGGGCTATTATTTCCAATGGGGTTTTTGGTATTCCAGACCTCAATTGCAACAAGAACCATGTCGACATCCATAACATTGTAAAGTTCATCTACTACACCGACACCCAAGACTACCTCCATCTCTACTGTTGAGACATTACTTCCACAAAAAACAAACCGTTCATGATCGACCACAATTGCCAGTTCAAGAAACCACCTGTGGATCCACCATCCCAAGTAAGAACTTTGCATTAAAGTGGTATTATTCTTCCTTTGAAACTTTCTGTATGGTGGTGCTTTTTTTTCTGTGAGTCCACACTTTGTGGGTTGGGATTGTGTCTCTTTGACATTCATGGTGTATAGCAGATGTTCAAATGTGGTTGAAAGATTTTTGGGCTTGATTTCATAAACAATGTTATTGATGCTCAGCATTCCATGAAAGCCTCCCAAACAAGTGCTCAGAGTTACCAGGGATTTTGGGTCTTGATCTACATAACCACGGTAGTAGCAGTCACTCTGAACAAAAGGATGATCCTGAAGCAGTTCACCTTTGTTACTGTAGGTGAACACAGAGAAGTCTCTGGAGACAACGTACTTGCTATTCTTTATGCGCACAGTGTGTTTCTTGCCGGCAAAGTTCATTTCATAAGTGATCCATTCTGCAGTCTTTATGTCTCCACCCGTGTCAGTGACCCTTAAAGGAATCACCACTTCTGGAGGGCTATAAAATTGAGCATGTCCAATCTGGGTCCATGTAGACAGGAACAAAAACACCCATAGATAAAACAGAAGGAGAGTGAACTTCACCTTCTCCAGGGCCTCACATGCAGCCATTATGAGCATGAAGATGGTTGTGGAAGAGGGGGTAGAAGTGTCACTACTTGTCCAGATCCTCACCTTGAGTTGCTTGTAAGTAGCAGTGATATTCAGTGGTTGGTCTTCCACCGGAGTCAATCAGTAAGAGAAGCAGCTAAATGCAAGAAGAAAACAAAAGAAAGGTAGAGACAGAAGTTTTATGGTAGCAAGTCAGGATGGAGAAGAAAGAACAAAGCATCACTTAAAATGAATTGGGATTTGGCTGAAGGCATGCCTCAACCTAGTGTAATGAACTGGCTCTTTAAGTGTTATTCAAAGAGGGCAAAAGGCCACAGATAAATTAGATGTATTTATTACACTTTGCCCTCAATATATTTTCAAATATTTATGTAAATATTTCCATAATAAATATTTCAAGCAAACACGTCTTAATGGAAAAATAACTATTTTGTTTGATGTGGGATCTTGGTTTATATACATCTAACAACTGGGAAAAATACCAATAATACCATCTTTGTATACATCACTTCATCACGTTGAATGAGAGCGTTATAGGAAAGCTATCCATATGCTTTTTAAAAATTATCTTTAATATAGTCTTTCCTTGAACCTATCATTACTTGTGCTGACATCATCTCACCTGTCCACATGGAATATATAAAGCATCAGAGGTGCTTTGAGAATGTTTCCGTTTTCTCTAAAGGATGGCAGGATTCAGTAAAATTAATATCTATTGGGAAATTGGAATGGAAATTGGAATTGTTATTGTGTGGATAATTCTCAAAAATGCTTACTTCTGGTTCTACCCTAAGAAAACAAAGATTCTAGACAACGAAAATGGACAGCACTCCAAAGAGACTTGGAATATAAAAGCTGATCGTGCAAGAATGGTGACAAAAAAGTAAAGTACCTTCTGGAACCAATAGAAGTCAATGTATCCCATTGGTAAACTAATATTAATACTGTTTTTCTAATTCATAGCACTTTTTATATGCCTAGCACATTTAGAATTTATCAATTATCATTTGAGATTGACATTTAAAGTTATTTACTTTGCAAATGAAAATATACCCCACAAAATATACTTACATATGTATGTCTATGTATATATACATGTGTGTTGTGCTATATCAAATACAAAACAAATATTTCAATAATTACAAATTAGATAATGAGAAACTTCTAATATTTTAGATTTTTTTGGCAACTTTGTGACCTTTGTTCTTGAATGAAATGCCAGAAAATTATTTAATATACAGATATTATACTGCCTTATTGGGAACATGTAAGGGAATGGAACAGTTGTAAATCATATTATCCTTTGGAGCGTAAATTTGCACTCTTATTTCCTATTTCACACAATACAGTTTCCTGCTTCACCCCCATATGTAGCATTGAAGAAGGAAGCTTTCTGTTCTCCAAAAAGCAAAACCATAATCCTTGTAGCTTATCGATATTTCCTTTGAGTACAACACTGGTAGTCCAACAAAAAAAAAACATTACTCTCTCCCAATCCCAATAATTTTTCATGGTTACATGGAGACCTAAGTTTATCTTTAGAACACACAAAAATGAGGTTGATTTATTTAGCTTTTTCTCTTCCAGAATCTTACCTACATCCTTCCTCTGTGTTACTCAGCCATACCACCACCCATACAACACATGTAGATCTTTACAATTTATATTCAACCATAGTTTTCCATGAAATGTATGAATAGGACAGAGGGTATATGAATATCATTAAATTATTGACCACAAACTCTGTTCAGAGTTGAAATTTACTCATCAAGTTGATACTTGTCAACTTTATGAAGGCCTTGAGTAACTTTTTCTATATTTTCCCTGTTTTCATATTCCCACCATTGTACCATTTCCATATGAATCCCATTATCCTCCATCAGTTCCACTGTTGATGAGGGGCTGTATCCCAATCCATAGCAATATTTCTGCCTGCTTTCATTGCTCTTCAACCACACTGCTAACACAGCTAAAAAAATTACCTCAATCTAATATGGGGACTCTATAGCAAGAGAAAGATGTGAAATTAGAATAAGGAAGACTTCCACTATTGATTTATCTTTCAAACACTGTTATATTTTCTTTCACTGTCTGTGCTTTATTGTCCACATTGTTCAATAACAATGATTGTCTAAATTTCCTCATTAATCAATCAGAACCTAAGCTAAACACCAACCTGGTTTTTTCTGAATTATTTTAAGGAAATTACAATAATAGTAGTTTAATTGTGAAACTAAGATTATTTCCTATTAGAGGCTGATTAATGACTAATGAGATATTTCTCTTAATGCATTCCTGTTTTTGCCTACTAGTGGCAGGGACTGACTTCAACATCAATGTGGAAATGGAATAATATTTTCATTGCTTGGGTAGAGTAATCAAGAATGTGAAAGGACAATCACTTTCTGGAATTCTAAGCAAGTTCCCTAAGGGAGCCCTTCAAAACACTCCAACTTGTAAATACTATGCTGATCTACTGAATTGTTCCACTTGCTTCTCTGGATGGTTTTATTTTGGAATTTTTACATAGTGGGAAATTTGTTTGTGGAGTAGAAGAATTATTTAATTATAATGAATGTTTCTTCTTCCCTTCCTTCCTTACTGTTTTTTTTCTTTTCTAACTTCCTTTCTTTCTTACTTGATTTTATACAATGACACCTGAGACCAAACCTCTTGAGAAAGGAGAATATAACACGGTAGTCACTAATTGATGTGCTGTGATCATCTATCTCCCTACTCACATTTTTAGCATATTTTTAATGGTTATCATATTATAAATAGAAACACAATTACAAACATGATTTAGAGATTCTGTCTTAACAAAAGTATTATAGGAAAATTAAAAGAGCATAATCTTCTTAATATTCTGAATATATGGCAAAGGATCCTATTGCGTGCCATGAGTGTGTATATATGTGTGTGTGTGTGTGTTCAACTATGTATAAATATACCTCTTCTTCCTGTTAAACTGTTGAATGACTTACCAAGAAATGATTTGTGAGGTTCCACAATCTTTCTAGGAATAGCCCCATTTACTGATCACTTTTGATACTCATCAAGGACAAGGTTATATTTCAGATTTTACATTACTGAGAGTGATCTAAATCCTCTCCTTCTGTGGTCTCTCATTTAAGTTCTAGAATTAGTTGCCTAGCAACGAAGTGTTTCTCAGTTCTTCTAAGAAGAAAATGACTTCACTTCTTTCCGATCTTGGCTCACCATTTCCATTCCACTTTCATTCTACTGCTTTTGAACATGAATAAATCTGATGTTACCACCATTCAGGATGTGCCAGTGATTCTTCAATGAGAATAAATTTGATTTCCTTCCCTGGTTTTGGGTTCCCTTTTAATTATTTTATTTCTTAATTATTTCATTGCTTGTACTGTTACCATGGTTTTACTTTCTTAATATGGGACAATGTTATCTCACACAAGACCTATCCAATTCCAGAGGAAAAATTTTAGATTAATTTAGATATTAAGAATTGATGATGAACTAAACATCCTTTTAAGGTAACTGAGCAACAGAGATTTCATATCCATTTATAAATATTCTTCAGCTAATAGACACCATGTCAATTACTCAGAAAAAGGCCAAAATGGAAGTTAAAAATTAGAGACTAAAAAAGTAGGAAGGAACTGGTTGGGGTGCCACATTCCTGAAATCACAGCTCTATTGCAAATAGAAATTGGAAAAATCATGGTGCTAGGCTGGTGTTTGCAAAATTAGCAAGGCTTCATCTCAATTTAAAAAAATACAGATGTATTGAACAAATCTATGATCACAGGTATGGCAGGAGGTGAAGGCAGGGGATTACACTTGAAGGGAAAGTGAATGCATGAGACCCAATCTGAAACTAAAGTAAAAGGGCTCAGGCCTTGGCTCAATCAGCTGAATGCCTGCCTAGCCAGCATAAGGATTTAACTTTACAACTTGGGGGGCAGGGAGAAGGAAAGAGTTGGGGAGGTGGGGAGGAAAAGTTGGTAGGGGAAAAATAAAAATGATGGTAGGGGAAAAATAAAGGAGAGTATAACAATGCACGTTGGACTCATTACCTTGCTCATGTAAGTAACCCCTTTGTACAGCATCTTTACTATATATATAAAGAAAGGAAACAAAAAAAACAAAAAAACTCAAAGTGGTAACATTGTCCCATCAAAGAAATATGTTCATTACATGTTTTATGAAATTGTAATCCTTCTTCATAACTTAATAATGAAAATAAAATTGCATTTAAAAACTCTAGTATTGCCAAATTAAAAGATAATAATAAAATGAAAATTGTGGGAACAAATTTATAGGATAATTGCCTAAAACTCCTGACCTCCACTGATGACCTTAAGCAATTTATGTGAGGTGGGCCAACTTGAGAAGTTATTGTTTTATTCTTGTGAGTTTGCCTCTCAGAAAACCAAACCAAAGAGCACAAATGATAAAAAATAAAAATTGAGCTCTGATTTATTTAGATAAAGCAAAAATTTAAAACTGAAATGCAGCCAGGTGCTGTTGGCTTAACCTTGAATCCTAATCAGGAGGCTGAGATCTGAAGGTCACAGTTCAAAGTCAACCTGGATAAGAAAGTCTGTGAGACTCTTATCTCTAATTAGCTACCCCAAAAGCTAAAGCAGAGCTATAGTTCAAGAGACAGAAAGATAGTCTTGAGCACAAAAACCCAGCAGGCACACCAGGCACACACACACACACACACACACACACACACACACACACACACACACACACGGAGCCCTGAAATACAGCAGTTCAACTGAAAAACTGAACGTGTGTTTCACTGGGTTGATTCAGAATTGAGGTCTATGTGTAGTTTACCATGTGTTGGCCTTGAGGAAAGATTGAAGTTTATTGACAGGGCACTGAAATTTATGTGAATATGGATGCTTGCAAATTTTGCTGAATTACCTCTGCCAGATATAGCTTAATCCTACCCTAAACTTCCCAGCATAACAGCACTTTGACAATGAACCAAATGACATTTCCTT